TACCCTCACCACCCGCACACTCAGTTATATTCGCTCGTAGGGCGGCAGAATAGAGAGGGCGGCATCCCCAACACCGTGCCCTCAGTTATATCTGTGTCTAGTATGGTAGAATAGAGAGGGTGGCGTCCTGGACACTACCCACGGCGCCCTCAGTTATATCCGCATCTAGTGCGGTAGAATAGAGAGGGCGGCATCTCCGACACTACCCTCACCACCCGCGCCCTCAGTTATATCCACTTGTAGGGCGACAGAATAGAGAGGGCGGTGTCCCCGACCCTACCCACCGCGCCCTAGGTTATATCCACGTCTAGTGTGGTAGAATAGAGAGTGTGGCGTCCCCGACACTACCCTCACCACCCGCGCACTCACTTATATCGGCGTCTAGGGCGGCAGAATAGAGAGGGCGGCATCCCCAACACCGTGCCCTCAGTTACATCTGCGTCTAGTACGGTAGAATAGAGAGGGTGGCGTCCTGGACACTACCCACGGCGCCCTCAGTTATATCCGCATCTAGTGAGGTAGAATAGAGAGGGCGGCATCTCCGACACTACCCTCACCACCCGCGCCCTCAGTTATATCCACTTGTCGGGCGGCAGAATAGAGAGGGCGGTGTCCCCGACCCTACCCACTGCGCCCTCGGTTATATCCACGTCTAGTGCGAAAGAATAGAGAGTGTGGCGTCCCCGACACTACCCTCACCACCCGCGCCCTCACTTATATCGGCGTCTAGGGTTGCAGAATAGAGAGGCCGGCGTCCCCAACACCGTGCCCTCAGTTATATCTGTGTCTAGTACGGTAGAATAGAGAGGGTGGCGTCCTGGACACTACCCACGGCGCCCTCAGTTATATCCGCATCTAGTGAGGTAGAATAGAGAGGGCGGCATCTCCGACACTACCCTCACCACCCGCGCCCTCAGTTATATCCACTTGTCGGGCGGCAGAATAGAGAGGGCGGTGTCCCCGACCCTACCCACTGCGCCCTCGGTTATATCCACGTCTAGTGCGGAAGAATAGAGAGTGTGGCGTCCCCGACACTACCCTCACCACCCGCGCCCTCACTTATATCGGCGTCTAGGGTTGCAGAATAGAGAGGCCGGCGTCCCCAACACCGTGCCCTCAGTTATATCTGTGTCTAGTACGGTAGAATAGAGAGGGTGGCGTCCTGGACACTACCCACGGGGCCCTCAGTTATATCCGCATCTAGTGCGGTAGAATAGAGAGGGCGGCATCTCCGACACTACCCTCACCACCCGCGCCCTCAGTTATATCCACCTGTAGGGCGGCAGAATAGAGAGGGCGTTGTCCCCGACCCTACCCACCGCGCCCTCGGTTATATCCGCGTCTAGTGCGGTAGAATAGAGAGTGCGGCATCTCCGACACTACCCTCACCACCCGCGCCCTCACTTATATCGGTGTCTAGGGTTGCAGAATAGAGAGGGCGGCATCCGCAACAGCACCCCCCACCCCTTCACGTTAGGGTTGAGGGCGGTGTTACCGTTCTTGCCTAGAGCGGCAGTTTAGCTTGCTCCGGCCCTTGTTACAACTTGCCCGGCAGGTGGTGGGGTACATACAGTAGTAACATTTTTACTCTTGGTACTTTTGAAAATACTGCACAGAAACCATAAGTCCGGCAATCATAATTTCAGTGCTCATTTGTAGGAGAAGCTGGTGTGTTGTTGGTAAAAAGATAAGGTATGTCTAACCCCATTACTTTGTTCATTGTTTGGCCAAAACCAAAAAGTGTTATTTTGTGCCCTGCTCTCCCCCAAGAGTTATCCATTAGGTATATATATTTATATATATATATATATATATATATATATATATATATATATATATATATATATATATATATAGGAAAATAATGTGATTCTGACTGAATGTGGTGGGGGTAAAGCGATAAAAAAGTTGATATTGATATTTCTGATTATTAGCAGCCATAGTTTAAAACTATTTTCTGAAATTCTCGAACAGAAATAATAGATGACTAGGAAGCAGTAACCTCAAGCTGAAGTCACTATTAACTCTTTATTTAATGTCATTGCTATTTAGTAGCAACTGCTGAGTTTTCTAATGTTCTCATCGGTCAGTTTACTTCCCTCAGGACATCGCTCTTAATGCAGATGAATTCTTTGTGACTCTTTGCATCTCCTGTCTAGCGACCCTTTCTTCCTCAAAATCTGAATCCCACACAAACGACTAATTAGCATTAGCATAAACAGACTGCCTTGACCCCTTCACGCTGTTTTGTAGTCCGTCTCTGTAAACAAACAGCGCTTGCTCTTGATCCTATTAGCTCTCCCAGTGTTGTATCTCTCCATCTGACACGCGCTCGCAGAGATTTTATTTTCTACCGCAGTGGCCAAATGATGGCGATGCAGCATACTTGACAGGGTAATTACTTTTAATGAAATAATACGGCCATCGCAGGCATCAATTAAAAGCCGCGCGCTCATTAGAGAGGTTTGCGCTCATCCCTCATCCCTCCATTTTCTAACGATCCAAACAGCACGAAGCTAAATCGAAGATTGGTGAATGTTCCCCCCCCCCTTGGGAGTGAACGAAGACAACAAAAACAAGATGTAGAGAGAGGGGGAAAAGAGCTTGTCGTCAGGAACTGACAGAAAAACACACATTTCTTAAAAATAAACTAATAAAATGTGTCTGTAATTAAGTCCCTTTTTTTCCATCTCAGGACCACTCTATGGCAGGGTTATTCAATTAGTTTGTCACGAGGGCCGGTTCATGAAAAGCATCTCAAACGAAGGGCCGGAGAGATATGACTTGCTTTTATGTGATAACACAACTACATATAAGAGCCCATATGCTGTATTTCTCCTCCTTAAGACACCCACGTTGGCTTTTTCTACATTAAAATGTGAATATATTGTATTTTGAAACTACATAATATCAGTGCATTGTACGATAGACTTTTTTTTTTTTTTTACAAACGTATTCAAATGTATTTCAGAGCACAACAAAAGCAGTGCATTGCTGAAGTAGGCCTTTTCTACATTCAGACGCATCCATATCCTATTTTTTTAAGTTGCATTACAATTAGGGATGCAACAATTATAGATTTTGGTTGTACGTTTACATAGTCTGAAGAATAATCATTGGTTCACGGTTATCACGTCTAATGTAAATTCAAGTTTTGTATTAGGTAAGTAGCTATTTAGGTTGTGGTGGATAGCAATGTAATGGGCTGGCTAAAGTTCATCCAGGCAGTTGTTTTTTGGAGAATAAAGCCCTTCAGCCTTATAGAACAGTGCTCCTCTTCTCAGAGTTTATTCTGGCACTACAACTGCCTGGATGTACATTATCCCGTACTTAGATTTCACAGTATATCTCACACAACAGACTTCTCATGATGTTAAAAACCTCATACTGCAAAATTAATAAACCCTCAACACATAGACATTAAGAAACGTTTGATGAAAACTCATCTGATTCTCTGGGAAAATGTGCCCTGGTGTACATTTTTAAAACCCGGAAAATATGTGCTCGTTTAGCATTTGTTTAGCACTTGTTTCTGCATTTTATGTGTTAAACAAGCACTATGGGGCGCTGCCACTGAAGGTTGACCTATTTTAGGGCATTCATTTTTGCAGTAATGTACACATCGCTCTCTTATGGATTTATGAGAAATGGCACGTATGAGAAAACGTGCTCAAGTAACGTATTTGAGATTGTTCAAAATGTACATGACACCCTCTAGTGGATTTGCGAAAACAAAAACTGCAAGAAGACGTAGTCCAGGGTACATATTTGTCGGTTCTTAGAAATATAGCCCTGAAAACATATTTCTAATCAACCTGGGTTGGATAGACCTCACTTAAAGAAAAATTAAAGCTCACACCACAGGCTTCTCATGAGAGAGCTCATCCCAGAGACTGCTCAGAGACGCCTAATAACGCTTCAAAAAATGATTACAGCTACAGAATTGCAAAAGTTTTTTTTTTTTTTTTTTTGCCATTCTTAACTTGTGAAAAAAAACAATGTTTTGTGTCTGATTTTATGTGTTATGGCAAGTAGCAATATAATAAGCTGGATAAAGTACATCCAAGCGGATGATTTTACAGAATAAAGCTCTTCAGTCTTATACTGCAGTCCTCCGATTCACAACAGGCTGTAAATAAACCTGTCAAGCTTTATCCTGTAATTACAACAACCTGGATGTACTCAACCCGTACTTAAATATTGCAGTATATCTCACACAACAGACTTCTCATGATGTTATTAACCTCATACTGCAAACTTAATCAACCCTCATTATATAGACTTTAAGAAAATTTCATATGAAAACTCTTATCTGATTCTCAATGGGAAAATGTGCCCTGGTCTAAATTAAGAACCAAGAAATATGTGCTCGCTGCAACACACTGGTTGCATTTTATGTCTAAAACGAGCACTATGGGGTGCTGCTGCTGACGCTTTAATAATTTTAAGACATTTGTTTTCGCAGTAATGTATACAGTGCCCTCTGGTGGATTTACAAGAAATGGCATGTATGAGAAAACATGCTCAAGTAATGTAGTTCAGATTGTCCAAAATGTACATGGCACCCTCTAGTGGATTTGCGAAAACAAAAACTGCAAGAAGACGTAGTCCAGGGTACATATTTGTCGGTTCTCAAAAATATAGCCCTGGGAACATATTTCCAATGAGCCTGGATTGGATAGACCTCACTTAAAGAAATAAAAAACTCACACCACAGGCTTCTCAGAGATGCTTAATAGTGCTTCTGAATGTGATTACAGCAACAGAATTGCGAAAGTTTTTTTGCCAATCTAAACTTGTGTAAAAGTTCTGTTATGAAGCCTGAAGTGGGAAGCATCTAACATGTCCTGTGTGTTATGTAATGTCCATGATCTTATTATTTCATCCCAGGTTTCAAGCTCCACTTTCTCATGGACGCAGATGGCCCTAATCGATTTATCTCTCTCTTTCTTATTCCCATCTTCATCTCGCTTTTCCTCTCGCTCTCTCTTTCTCTGCAGCAATTCGGGAAGATCTTAGACGTGGAGATTATCTTTAATGAAAGAGGATCAAAGGTATGAATGATGCTTGCTTTCTTCTCCTCTCCGTTTGTGTAGCCACGATCTGCTTCCTTCTCTTCTGAACCCTTTATTGGCTTAGAGACGGCGACTTGATCCTCCTCGAGCCAGATTAAAGACTATAAAGTCAAAGAACAAAACAGACATGACAGTGCACATACTCAGAGCAGGGGTCAGCCGTCTCGCGGCTCACAACGCTTCATGCTTAATCCACTGTTTGCTGCTGACTTGAGTCTTTGCTCGGCTTGTACGTGTGAACATAATTCAGGTAATGTCAATAAATCTGCTCTTTTCCTTCCAAGGCCTTTACAACATGCTCGGATAAGAGTCATATAGAAAGATGAGTGAGAGTCAGATTGACCGTTTCTGATGTTGGATTTGTTTTTGAAAATAATTTTGGAATGTTTAGCATTCAGAAGTCCAGCATTTTCAAACAAATGCACCTAAAATAAAGATAAAATTAACTGTTTTTATTGTTATAGGAATAGCTCACCCCAAAATTTACTCACCCTCAAGGATTTCCAAAGCTTTATGAGTTTCTTTTTTTCTGTTGAGCACAAAAGAAGATATTTTGAAGAATGTTAGAAACGTGTAACTGTTGACTTTCATAGTAGGAAAAACAAATACTATGGAAGTCAATAGTTACAGGTGTGCAATATTTTTCAAAATATTTTTGTTGTAAACTGAAGGTTGCGTAAATCATGACAGAATTTTAGTTTTTTGGGTGAACTGTTCCTTTAACTGAACGTAAAATCTATTTAAAAAGGCTTGGTGTAAATACAATTTAGTGTAATAAATTGAAATATCAGATTTATTTTTGGGTACACATTGCAATTGTTGCCTTGTTAGTTAACGAAATTGTCAAGTAGTAAAATTTGACGAGTGGAAATGTGTAAAAAAACAAAGCCAATCTTAAACATGTATAATAAACGAAAATAAATAGTTTTTAACATTGTTTTTTTATAGAAAGAATAAAAACGGCACATTTTGGACCAAAACAACACATTAAAAAATAGACAATGAAGTCAATTTAAAGCATGCTAAATGTTAAAAATGATAAATTCAAAAAATGCTTTGGGATAGATTCTAATGAAGTAAATAAAGTCAAGTCAACATGCTTCAAAACAAACAAACAAACAAACAAACAAACAAACATTTTATAAGAATTGTCATTTTCATCTAGGTTTTCAGCAGAAGTTATATTATTGAAAACTTTTGACCCCTGAATATTTAACGTGGACATTTATGTTTAAAATCTGACCACAAATATGTGCTTGCTGGTACACAATGGCTGCATTTTATGTGTAAAATGAGCATTATGGGCTGACGGCTTACCTATTTTAAGATGTTAATTTTTGCAGTAATATACAGAGCGGCCACTGGTGGACTTACAAGAAAGGGCACATATAAGAAAACATGCTCAAGTAACATATTTGAGATTGTACAATTGTACACTGCGCCCTTTAGTGGATTTGTGAATTAAAAAAACTGCAAGAAGACGTAGCCCAGGGTACATACTTGTTGGTTCTCATAAATGTAGCCCTGGGAACATATTTCCAATGAGCCTGGGTTGGATAGACCTCACTTAAAGCAAATAGTATGTAAATAATAAATAAATGCCAAAAATGTTTGGGATAGATTGTAATGAAGTAAATAAAGAGCTTTAACCTTATTTTTCCACCAAGTCGACATGCATTAAAACAAGCAATCAAATAAGAATTGTCATTTTCATCTGGGTTTTCTGCAGAATTTGTATTATTGAAAGCTTTTGAAATCTGATTATTTAACGTATACGTTTACGTTTAAACTCTACGTTTAGTCTGAGCAGAAATATGTGCTTGCTGGTACACAAAAAACAGAAGATGTTAAAGGCAAAGCACAAGTAATGTAGAAGAAAGCATTTAAGTGGAAATGTCTAAAAAATAAAACCAAACTTAAACTTGTATGAAAATAAATAGTTTTTAATATTGCTTTAAAAAAAAAAGAATAAAAATAGCATGTTTTGGTACAAAAAACACATAAAAAAATAGACAATGATGTAAATTTAAATGTCAAGTAAAAATAAACAGTATGTAAATGATAGTTAAATGCCAAAAATGTTTGGGATAGATTACAATCAAGTAAATATAGTCAACATCCCCCCCCCAAAAAAATAAAATAAAATAAAAATGTAATAAGAATTGTCATTTTCATCTGGGTTTTCAGCAGAAGTTGAATTATTGAAAACTGTTTCTGATTATTTAACTGAAATCTGATTATTAAACATGAACGTTTATGTTTAAACTGACCAGAAATATGTGCTTGCTGGTCCACAAAAACATAAGATGATAAAGGCAAAGCACATGTAGTGAAGAAAGCATCCAAAATATAGTTTTTACTTAATTTATTGCACTTTATATTTTTTATTTTCAGTTACAAATCTAAATTAGATACGATATTTATCTTTAAAAAAAGTTTGTTAAAATAATTTTTTGTTCCCCTCAGTGACACCTACACCAAACTTAACAGTTAGCTATATTCTAAATGTTTTACTGCAGAGTTTTTATTTTAAAAGGTTGATTTATACAACTTTTCTAGATATATTACAATACATATATTTAATGTGTTTTTTTCTATTAAAAATAGATTTTTCTCCACTTCAGTTTCACCTACATACACCAAACTTAACAGTTTTATTCATATCTATATAAGGGATTTTACAGTTTTTTTCATACTTAATTTTGTATGATTTCTCTAACATTTTATTCCTCAAATAACACAATGGTCAATATTCAATTGAATTCATTTTTATTTCTAAGCGCTTTTACAATGTAGATTGTGTCAAAGCAGCCTAACATAGAATTTCTAGTAAATTGTAACTGTGTCAGTTCAGTTCAGTGTGGTTTAAGTTTCACGGATGAAAGTCCAAACACTGAAGAGCAAACCCATCGATGAGCAGCTCCACAAGTCCCGAGTTATTCCTTCAGTAAAAAAATAGCTCTAATATATAAACAAAATGTACCCATGTTAAAATAATCAAATTTTAGATTCAAATTCTGTTCTAAAAGTTTGCGCGCATTTAAAAAAAAATCTCAGGGAGTTAAAAGGTATGCCAACATTTTAAATGTTCATATGTCCATAAAATTTGTGCGGTATTTCTGTAGATTTCAGCCACAAAACACAGTTAAAGTGTATTTCAACAGTTTTATTTTCAACTCAACAGTTGAATTCATATCATAAGTACTTAACCCACAATATTTACATATTTAAACTGGAATACATAATGTATATTTAAAGTGAATTGGATTAAACTTACTTTTTTTATTTAAAAATGAAAAACACCTCACATATAAATAGACAATACAATGTTACTTTTATTAATCTGTAGTGTGTTGATTTGAAACACTGAAAGTGAACATGCAGGTTTTTTCCGGCAGTCAGTGTGTGTGGATGGCGTGTGATAATTCCTCCGTCCCCGACAGCTAGATAAGATGAAGATGACATCGCTTTCTGCTCAAGCAACCATTCACTGTGGTGTGCCCTACAAAGCCCATTACCCATGATGCCTTGCTTTCCCCACCACCCAGCGTGGCTGTATAATGAACCCCCCGGCCCATTAATAAACAATCTATTTTCTAAGAAGCAGCCATTTGCATTCAATATGTTTGTCCCTGTTGAAAAATAGGCTGTCTCTTTTTTTACCCCTGCGTGTAAGCTAATTATTGCATGATAAAACAGCGGAGGAGAGAAGACGCGGTCATGTGAGATGTCCACGGGATTCATTCGGCCCTCTGTTGATCTTGTGTCTGTCTGATGGATAATTTTGTGAAGCAGAAGGTGCTGAAGTTCCTGTGTGAAAGTCTCCTGTGTTTATTGAGCCTTTGGGCTGATTGAAGACTCTTTCTGTATTATACAAACACTGTTTTGCAGTCAATCATCTGTAGCTCCGCCCCCTCTTGATTACTATCGGCCACTGAGTCATCATGATGAACACAGATCATCTTTTTGTCAAGTGATAGTTCAATCAAAATGAAAATTCTGTCATCGTTTGCGTTTCATTCACATGCGTTTCTTCTGTTGAATAAAGGAGAAGATATTTTGAAAAATGTTTTGAAAAATTGACTTTAACACTATTTGTTTTCCCTACCATGGAAGTCAATATTTAGAGGCATCCAGCTTTTTTTTTAAATATTGACAGAAGAAAGAAATTCATAAAGGTTTGGAACCATTTAAGTGAGTGGTCAGTAAAATTAGCTTAATCCATTTGTTTAATTGGTTGAAAATAGCTGGGATTGTGCGATTGTAAATGTGGGCAAATGTGAATAAACTGTATTTCAATAAATAAATGATTTTTAAAAAATAAATAAAGAAACATTTTGTACAGTATATTAACATTTTATGAAGTATGACCCACATTGAATTCATGTCATACGCATTTAACCTACAATATTTAAGTATTTAAACTCCAATGCTAATGTTTTAAGTACAATTTATTAAAATGTAATTTTCTCCACTTCTTTGTCACTTAAATGCACCAAATTTAACAGTTTTATTTGTATCTATATTTTGAGCATTTTACTGCTGGAATTGGTCATATATAATTTTGCCTGATTTATACAGTATAATTTATGTAGGTTACAACTATAGTACATACTGTATATTTAAAAAATATGTTTTTTCTCCACTTCAGTGTTACATAGAGACACTAAATTTAAGTGTTTTATTTATATCTATATTCTGAAGGATTTTACTGTGGGGTTTGTTCATATATTATTTTACCTGATTTATACAGTATTTTTTTTCTATAGATCACAACTACACTACATACTGTATATCTTATTAAAATTATATTTTTCTCCACTTCAGTGTCACTTAAAGAAACCAAATTTAACAGTTGTATTCATGTCTAAATTCTAAAGGACTCTACTGTGAGGTTTGTTTATATATTATTTTACCTAATTTATACAGTATTATTGCGATAAATTAGATTACAGCTACAATAAATACGTTATAATTAATTAAAATAAGATTTTTCTCCACTTCAATGCAACTTACATACACCAAGTGTAACAGTTTTTTTCATATCTATATTCTGAAGGATTTTACTGTGGGGTTTGTTCAAATATTAGTTTACCTAATTTATACAGTATTATTTCGATAGATTATAGGTACAATACATACGTTATACTTAATTAAAATAAGATTTTTCTCCACTTCAATGTAACTTACATACACCAAATGTAACAGTTTTATTCATATCAATATTTTGAAGGATTGTACTGTGGGGTTTGTTCAAATATTAGTTTACCTAATTTATACAGTACTATTTCGGTAGATTATAGGTACAATACATACGTTATATTTAAGTAAAATTAGATTTTTCTCCACTTCAGTGTGACTCACTCCCACCAAACTTAACAGTTTTATTCATATCTATATTTTGAAGGATTGTACTGTGAGGTTTGTTCATATAATATTTTACCTAATTTATACAGTATAATTTCTATAGATTACAACTAAAATACATACTGTATATTTTAATCAGATTTGTTTTTCTCCACTTCAGTGTAGCTTAAATAAATCAAACGTAACAGTTTTATTGATATATAAATTCTGAAGGATTTTACTGTGGGATTTGTTCATATATTGTTTAACCTGATTCATACAGTATTATTTTTATAGATTAAAACTACACTACATACTGGATATTTTTATCAAATAATTTTTTTTCTCCACTTCAGTGTCACATACAGACACCAAATTTAAGAGTTTTATTCATGTCTATATTGCAAATGATTTTACTATGGGGTTTGTTCCTATATTATTTTACCTAATTTATACAGTATTATTTCGATAGATTACAGGTACAATACATATATTATATTTAATTAAAATGAGATTTTTCTCCACTCCAGTGTGACTCACTCCCACCAAACTCAACAGTTTTGTTCATATTTATATTCTGAAAGATTTTACTGTGGGGTGTTTATATTTCACTTTACATGATTTATACAATATTATTCATATAAATTGCAACTTAAACTCATGGTGTATTTTAGTAAATCTTGATTTTTTCTCTGCTTCAGTGTCACTTACATACACCAAACTTAACAGTTTTATTCATGTCTATGTTCTGAAGTATTTTACTGTGGGGATTGTTCATATATTGTTTTACCCAATTTTTACAGCATTCGTTCTTTAGATTACAACTACAATACGTGCTGTATATTTTATTAAAATTAGATTTTTCTCTACTTAAGTGTCACTCACTATTTCACTTTACATGATTTATACAATATTATTCATATAAATTGCAACTAAAGCTCATGGTGTATTTTAGTAAATCTTGATTTTTTTTCTCTGCTTCAGTGTCACTTACATACACCAAACTTAACAGCTTTATTTATATCTATATTCTGATTTTTTTACTGTGGGGTTTGGTGATATAATGTTTTACCTGATGTATACACTATTTTATGTGGATTACTGGTATAGTAAATACTATACTATTTATTAAAATTAGATTTTTCTCCACTTTAATGTCACTCTCATCAAACTTAAGTTTTATTCATAACTATATTCTGAAGGATTTTATTCCTGTTCATGTATAATTTTGTCTAATTTAAAAATTAATATGTCTATTGATTACAACTAAAATACATACTGTATTATTTATTAAAATGAGATTTTTCTCGACTTCAGTGTCACTCACGCACACCAAACTTAACAGCTTTATTCATTTCATTTGGGCTTTGTTGATATGCCTCATTTCTATATAATTTTATTTCCTAAAAGCATGATAAAAAAAATATTATTTTGATTAATGGATAGAACAGATCAAAAAATTTTCACTAAAGTTCTTTAACTCTGTCACAGGGATCACCTTTCTTAATTTCAGCAGATGAACTTTTACTTTTCTAAAAACCTGATAGTTTTGCAAAGATACATTTTACATTTGCAACTCTGCAATGACATTTTTTATAGGGACTAGGCCTTAAGAAGTGTTATTTCTGCCAATACCATGACCTAAATCAACCACTTTACAGGCGGGCTCTGTATTTGTGCTGTTTTTCTTCTTCTGGTGTGTACCTGTATTGTGTTTTGTAAGGTGTTGGTCCTTTTGTGATCCCCTGACTTTCTCCATACCTCTTTTCACCGCTGTTTCTCTCTCTCCCCTCCTGCTTCCCTTCATGCCACGCAGGGCTTTGGCTTTGTAACTTTTGAAACGAGTGCAGATGCAGATCGCGCACGGGAGAAACTAAACGGTACAATCGTAGAAGGACGTAAAATCGAGGTGCTTTCCTTTTTTTCCCTTTCTCTCCGCCCTCTTTTTCTGCCTGCTGACCTCATTTCCTGAACTCATCCTGCGGTTTCTGAGCATCTGCACGATACCTGACCGACTGTGTGTATGTGTGTCACATCTTAGAGAAATATTCTGGGTTATATCAAGCTGATTGCATGCTCTATTGACAACTTCTAAATGCTAAAAATAGTAAATAAGAAGAAGAATTTTGTTTAAAATGTGTTCAAGCCATATTTCAAATTGGGGCACTGTTATATAAAAATAATGTGGTACACTAAAAAATTATGGGTTGTCACAACCCAAATACTAATTCAAATATAGAGAAACCCAACGTTAATTTTCAATTAAATTTAAATTACACTTTTTAACCCAATAGTTAAAAACAACCCAGCGTTTTATATACATACATACATACATACATACACATATATATATATATATATATATATATATATATATATATATATATATACATATATATATATGTATAAATGTATGTATATATATAATTAATTATATATATATATATATATATATATATATATATATATATAATTAATATTATATTTATTTATTTTTAAACTTAGAAACAGCTTTAGAAACTGTATCAAATATTGTGAAAAATGACCCAGAATATTTATTGAATTGATCTCTGAGAGGCATTTAATTAGTTGGTTCTGAAGTTGTGCTGATTCTTTAAAATATTCATCATCTTCATCTTTCACTGGATAATGTACAAGCAATTTAAAACGCATTCAAAATCAGAAGACATCATGAGTTGTTTGCTTTGTCCCTCATGAGATACATCTGGGATATTTTGGTTTCCATTGCCTATGTATGTCATCAATTCAAACTGTTATTAAGGCACCACAAAATGTAGAAATTCTGCCAAATATTTGCATTTACAAACTTTTATTTTGCAATGTGTATAACTCTAAAATAATGCATTGTGGGAAATGACTGTATAATCTAAAAGATATTCATGCATGTTTTGCATGAGCGCAGTTTTTCCTGCATGGCTTTTGAGATGTATGTTCCCGCAGTGCTTTCACATCTCTCTGTATCTTTTTTTCTCAGGTGAACAACGCCACGGCGAGAGTGATGACGAATAAGAAAGTAGTAAACCCGTACACAAACAGTAAGAGCCTATAAATCTCCTCAGCATGACTAAACGGCCGTCACCTGCTTGCCTCAGCATTTACAGCTGCTGAACGCTTCTGACTCTCACTGACAGACGTTGTTTTAACCCCAGCGGGATCTATTAAAGTACACGCTCAAGTGTTTGCCTGGATATTTCCATCTCTGTCCTGTGTTTCTGCAGGCTGGAAGCTCAACCCAGTTGTAGGAGCCGTTTACGCACCAGAGCTCTACGCAGGTGAGGATGCACACATCTGTTCGTGCCAGTATTCATTTTTGCTCATGGTTGCCAGGTGTCACTAATATTTTTCAATAGGTTTCTAGGTTGCCTTACAGGTTGCTTGTACAGTATACACTTTTTAGTTGCTACCAAGTTAAATCTGGTTGTTAGGGGGTTCTGGGGAGTTGCTAAGATGTTCTAAACTGTTGCTACAGTGTTCTAGTTGGTTGCTAGGATGCTGCTAATGTTTTTGGCTTGGTTGCTAAGGTCTTCCACACATATTAATTTTCTCACATGGTTGTTAGGTGTCACTAATATTTTTCAATTGGTTGCTAGGTTGTTCTACAGGTTACTATACACGTATTAGTTGCTAACAAGGTATATCTGGTAGTTAGGGGGTTCTGGGGTGTTGCTAAGATGTTTTACACTGTTGCTACAGTGTTCTTGTTGGTTGCTAGGATGCTGTTTTTGGTTTGGTTGCTAAGGTCTTCCACATACTAATTTTCTTACATGGTTGTTAGGTGTCACTAATACTTTTCAATTGGTTGCTAGGTTGTTCTACAGGTTGCTAGTATACATTTTTTTAGTTGCTAGCAAGTTATATTTGGTTGTTAGAAGGTTCTGGGGTGTTGCTAAGATGTTCTTAACGGTTGCTGCAGTGTTCTTGTTGGTTGCTAGGATGCTGCTAATGTTTTCGGTTTGGTTGCTAAGGTCTTCCACACATTCATTTTCGCACATGGTTGCGAGGTGTCAATAATATTTTTCAATTGGTTGCCAGGTTGTTCTACAGGTTACTAGTATATACTTTTTAGTTGCTAGCAAGTTATATCTGGTTGTTAGGGGGTTCTGGGGTGTTGCTAAGATGTTCTACACTGTTGCTACAGTGTTTTTGTTGGTTGCTAGGTTTGGTTTGGTTTGGTTGCTAAGGTCTTCTACATGTCCTGGTTGCTAGGTGTCACTAAGATTTTACAACTAGTTGCTAGGTTGTTCTATTGTTGCTGCTAGTATGGTCTTTTTTGTATGTTTTTAGAGTTTTTAGAGTTTTATCTGGTTATTAGGGTGTTCTTCTGTAGCTGGTTGCTAGGATGTTGCTAGGGTGTTGCTAGGATGTTTTGGCTGGTTGCTATGTTGATCTAGTTTGTTGCTGAGACGTGTACTGTTTGGTTGCTAAAGTCTTCCACTAGGGATGCTCATTTCGGTTAATTTTGCTAACCGACAACCGCCGCTCATTAATCAGTTATTAACGGTTAACTGGTCAGATTACTATTAATTTTATATTAAACGAATTGACGTGTCTATTTTGTGTCTGACACATTAAATATTGCATTTTAAAATACTGATTTATTTTTATATGCTAGCATATTAATAATAGAACAATACAACAGAGCATTTTCACGCACCTGCAGTGTTTAGCACAGAAGAGCAGAATAATCTAAATAAAATGAATTAAATAAATAGGACTGCCCTACATTATTTTCCACTTAAATAATTAATTTATATTACAAATCCAAAATACTGACTGATTATTTTTAATAACCGGCATAGGCTGTTTTTTTTCCATTAATATTTTTGTCTTCCGTCAAATAAAATAGCAGACTTCCTCAAATTGCTCGCTCCACGGAAAATAAGCATTTATTTAATGCCCCGCTGTTATTATTATAATATCAAAACCTTTTTACATTCTTAATAGAAATCATTATTTTATTTTAAAGATTATGTCTTGCTATATGGTTTCCTTTCTCTCCCTCGCGGTTCAAGTGCGCGCTGCGTGATGAAAAGACAACAACAACGCGCGTATATGTTTACTTTTTGTAAACAGTTTTGTTGTTTAAATATGATATTGCATTAATGTGCATACATGCTTTATAAGCTGTAAAATAAAAGGTAAAGCCTATTTGTTGTGTTTATGACACAGATCCAGGTCAACCTCAGCACTTTTTTGGCATCAACACGTCTGTTTCAAACAGCAATATTCTAATTCCATTTTGCTTCTTTGCAAATGTGTCTGTAGGCACGGGTTATACGTTATCGTCCCGCAAGTTAAGTATGTCTTGCAGTTGAACAAGTGGTCGACCACAGCTAACGTGTTTTTTTCATTCCAAAAACGTGAGGCGCACCTCACCGCCTTTATGTTGACAAGGAAAAAAGAAGAGAAGAGGCGCGGTCCTCTTATGAAACGACCGAATCAGCTGGGTATCGATTGTGCATAAGTGTTGCTGTCTGTGTTGTTACAATTGTAATATTTAATAATATTATTATATTCAAGATTTGTACATTAATACAGCTCTGGATAACTTAAAACAGCGATTACACCTTCAAAGCGGCAATAATGAGTCCTTAAGTAAAGTGAAACGGCTATAAACTTCAGCAAGATAGAGTGATTATATGCAGAATCATACTTTATCTCTAAATAAAGTATAACTATAGAAACTGTGTTCATCTTAACTGAAAGCTTCTACATGTTTGCTTGGCTCACGCATCACGCACCTGTCAGTCAGTCAGTCAGTTAGTCAGCACGTAACCCCAAAGGGTTAAACAGATAGCGCACAGCACTATACGATTACAGAAAAGTTTGCGCTGTTATGATTCACTTACCTTTTAATACGTGTTGATGCGATTATAATCCGCTATTATAAACAACAATAACTGAATGTTTTGAATGGGTAATGTAGCAGTGGCGGGATGCATTTTGGTCCCCGCCATGGAAGAATGAATGTAGCGGAAACCAAGCTCTTTAAAAGTTCTCTGTAGTTGTCTTGACAACACAAACTGCTGCTCTGGGATGAGCCGCGTGCAAAAGATGCCTCTCTTAACGCAAAGGCGCATTCAATCGGCACCTTATGCAGCCAAACTAAAAATATATAAATTAATAATTTTAATCGTTTAACTGATAGCATTAATCGGTTACAAACGCACCCTTTCGGTTAACGGTTAATCGATTATTTTGTCTTCCACTCTAACTACTTTCTAGATGTCACTAAGATTTTCCCGGTTGTTAGGTTGTTCTACTTTAGCTGGTTGCTAGGGTGTTCTACTATAGCTGATTGCTAGGGTGTTCTACTGTAGCTGGTTGCTAAGGTGTTCTACTATTGCTGGTGTCTCAGGTGGTTTTTGTAGCTGTTCTAGCTAGGATGTATAGTTGCTATGACATTGCTATGAAGTTGCAAATGTGTTTTGATTGGTATTTTTAGGATGGTTGCTAAGGTTCGGATTACTTAAGGCAAGGCAAGGCAAGGCAAGGCAAGTTTATTTATATAGCACATTTCATACACAGTGGCAATTCAAAGTGCTTTACATAAACAGGAATAAAAAAGACAAGTTTAGGAAAATAAAATGCAGACAATAAAAATTATTAAAAACAGATAAAAACAAATTAAAATGAGTTAAAATAGGTAATAAAAGAATGAAAAAGAAAACGAAAAACATAATAGTGCAATCTGTCGGACGCAGCACAGTGCTCATTCAGTAAAGGCACAGCTAAACAGATGTGTTTTCAGTCTTGATTTGAATGTGCCTAATGTTGGAGCACATCTGATCAATTCTGGAAGCTGATTCCAGCAGTGAGGGGCATAGTGGCTGAAGGCAGATTCACCCTGCTTAGACTGAACTCTTGGAACTTCTAGTTTATATGATCCTAAAGATCTGAGTGATCTGTTAGGTTTGTATTCAGTGAGCATATCTGTAATGTATTGAGGTCCTTGGCCATTTTAAAGGGATAGTTCACCCAAAATGTGTCATCATTTACTTACAGTAGCCTTAAGTTGTCACAAACCTGTTTAAGTTGAACACAAAATAAATTATTTAAAAAAAATGTTGAAAACCTTTTAATGTTTATTTTCATATTATTTGTTTTCCCTTTTTCCTGTTTTTATAACATTCTTCAAACTATCTTCTTTTGAGTTCAACAGAAACTCAAAAAAGTTTGGAATCACTTGAGGGTGAGTAAATACAGAGTAAAGTTTAATTTCTTGGTAAACAATGCCTTTTCGTTTTTCTGCCTGGTTCCAAAGGTGTTTTGGTGCATTATGGGGTCCGTCCCAGCAGAGCTGATCTGGGGTTAAATGTCTCGCTCAGAGCGCACTGCTGATGTCAGTAAATTTCCACTTTATGGAAGTGAACCCGAGACCGCTGTGTTAGCAGTCCTCAACCACCAATCCACCAGCACCCAATAAAAGCACTCATGCTAGCGTGTTATTAGTGAAACTAGATGCCACGTTGGCTTCCATTCTCAATAAAAAAAGCACACGCTATTGAACACATCATAACCGCTGTTTTAATTTATTGCAGTCAGATGGTGGTCGTATCATTAGCGCTGCTAGTTAGCTCTCGGCTCAATTTGATTAGCAGTCACGGATCACATTTCTTTTTAAAACTCTTCAGTGTGCACAAATGAAGAATTCAGCGCGGAGTAATTGGCTCCAGTTCATTTTGCGCGCTCTGTTTCGAGTTCATTCTGATTTGCCCCCGAGTCTCAATGACTGTAAAAGTCTTTCATAAGGAAAATGAAATGGCATGGAGCTCAGCGGAGCCATATGCTAAACACAGCACCAACAAACTAATGCACCGGCACATATTAAAGCATGAAGCATGATACCTGTTCCTCTAGATAACATTATATAATCTACAATTAGATTCAGTATATCTATAATATATTAAAATATTATTGTACAAATAAGATATATACAGATTTAGTAGCAATATTTTTAAAATGTGTGTAGATATAAAAAAAAAAAAAACATCTGCGTTCTGTTTGGTTGCTAAGGTCTTCCAGTTTAGCTGCTTGCTAGGTGCCACAGAGATGTTCTAACTGGGTATTCTACTGCAGCTGGTTGCTACTGTACTCTTTTTGGTTGCTAGTGACTTCTAGTTGGTTGTTAGGGTGTTCTACTGCAGCTGATTGCTACTGTACTCTTTTAGGTTGCTAGTTAGCTCTAGCTGGTTGTTAAGGTGTTCAACTGCAGCTGCTTGCTAAGACGTTTAATGCTTTTTTTTCAATTTTTAAAATGTGTGTGGTTTCC